ATGAAAGTAATATCACAAGTTCAAACTATTTTGACCAATAACTTTATTTCATTTGTATTTATTATTTATATATGTCCAAATATATTAAAACACGTTGTTGGGATATTAAAACAATAATTCACCACTAGAAACTTTTACTAGTTCAGGTAAATTAGGAAATTAAAAAAAAATGATATTAGGTTGGATCTGGTTTCTAGCTTTCCTTTTGCTATTTTTCTTTTTAACTGTCGAACTAAGACACCCTTGTCAATGTTTTCTTCTGTTGACGGCGGTTGGTTGAGCCTTTATTTTCTACCTCCGGATAGGGTCTCTTTATTGACTGACATACAAAAATGAAAAATATTTTTTCAGATGTAAGGTGTAGTATCGTTCTGTGTAGCTAAATTTCCTGTAAATTGGCTCACTATGTTAGGTCTGATTTTTTATTGATAAGAATGTCTAAGAAAGGCAGACTATTATTAGTTTCTAATTCAATGGTTCAGCGTATGTTAAGGTGTATATAATTCAACTATCTAAGAAAATCTACTACGGATTATTAAATATGAGATCAAATTACAAAAGTATCATCGAGGTGTTCAGAACTTTCTTCTCAAAGGCTTTCATAAATATATTCGCGATGACAGGTGATAATGCAGAACCCATAGCTGACGCTTGTTCAAGAATTTGACCATTATAAAAAATATGTTCCAGACAAGCATTTGTCAATTAAGGTGAGAAAGGTTTGGCTCCAGATTCTCGGATTTTAATATATCTGAAATGAAGTTGAGAGTTTCAGGAATAGGAACTTTAGTAAAGAGGGATTTTACATTGAAACTAAACAGAATATCTAATGTAATGTAAAGTGTCGTACAATGTCATTTGTATGGACAATGAAAAGATTCGGGCCTAACGCTGTTCCGTGGGGTACACCAAATTGATTTTCCTTTTGCGTTGATGTATATTCAAAAAACCTTGTTTCCTAAGGACCACATCCCGAAACCCAGCTTTTGTTCAATAAATACTTTATTACTTTCAAAATATTGTATAAATTGTATTTTTCATAGACAGGTGCCATATTTATAGGTCGAAATCCATCACTTTAATCCTTGTTTGTCTTCTCTATGGGAATGATTGTAGACTCCTTCAGTATTGTGCAAATGTACCATACTCTAAACTACTCTTAATTAATTGTAAAAACCTGTCATCAATTATCACCTGTCATATTGGTGATAGAATGGGCAAAAGAAAATAACTTAAAAAATCAAAATAAATAAATTATATATTTTGACATGACAATTGTTTCGACAACACATTTGATAAAGACACGGTGTTGTCGAAACAATTGTCATGTGAAAATATATAATTTCGTGCAAATTTGAATTTTTAGTTCTTTTTATTTTGATAAATGGATTTTCATCAAGTAAAAGCCTCTGTTCAATTTTCGAAAATAACTTACGCTGCAACGAATTTCTTTTGTTACAAAGAATAGGATAAATATGGATATGTAGTTAGTGCTGCACTAGACGAAAGAATTATGACCATTTCATTGTTTAATTTTTTTCAAAATGTAAAATCATTTTCTCTTGCAAAATCAAATTGCATTTACGTATTTTTATACTCAATTTTTAACTATACGCAATTTTTCCCAACAGGAAACGTTTTTATCGAAGTTGGTTAACTACAGCGTACGCGCGCCACTGGTTTCGGCGAGGCAAACCGAATTAAGCCATTCGGGACAAAGGAACTGAGTCCCGGAACGCGTAATTATGTCAAAAACGCGAAGAATTCGAACTTCTTAATTAAATGCAGTTTTACGGCGAGCAACACCATCCCACTTTGCCAGAGACGAATAAGTTTAATTAAACCCCCGTGTTTTATTGTCGCGATGTAGTCTGCCGACGCTGAAAATAAGAATAAGGAGTTAAATAACTCGATAATAAATAAAACAGGTAATTTTTGCGAGATAGTCCGGGTGTGTAATGAACACCATAATCTGTTTCTCCCTGTGAGAGAATCGTTGGCAAAACTGGTATGGTCTGTTCATAGATATAAGAAAGTGACCAATTGCTTTTGAATGGCATTATCCAAGGATGGTCATTAACATACAATGCAACGAGATTATTACCTAAAGTTCCTGAATTTAAATTTAGGTAAAATTGTGGTCCGTAATAGAAAATAATTTTATACCTACCCGTGTTTAATATTCTTTGGTTTGGCATACTACTTAGTTTAAGTTTATTAGTAATCATTCTTATTTCGTGTGTCATACAACGTGTGTTGAATCGTGTGAGAATTATGAAAAATATGTGCGGGTCTAGTGTATCTCAGGAGATGCTGTAGAAAATACTATTCTATTGAGAGTAAGGAAGTTATGTTTATTTGACTCTCATTGAACGTGGTGCCAGCAAGCAAGCATATTTAGAAGAAACGGTCACATTGACGAAAATTCCAACATCAACTATATGGAAAATTGTGAATAATCCCATTTCAGCGAGAAAAAAAAGAAGCGATGCTGACATTTTCTCGAGTGTAAATGAAAGTGATCAAGATATAATACGGCGTAAAATTTACCAGTTATATGAGGAACAAAGCGTTCCTAAATTAGATATGTTAATTAGGAGGCTTGAAAAAGATGAAACCGGTGTTAAGTGTTATGGAAGTGTATTCGACACATGGGTTTTATATTTAAAAAAATAATTGGGAATTCGGAAATGGCGACTAGAATATCTAGAAAAAATTAGGATTTACAGAGAACACCAAAGGCCAATTATTTACTAGGATGAAACCTGGTTCGACACTTATGATACTCCGGAAAAGGGTGGGGTTGACTCAACTGATAAGTGTGAAACAAACGCGCCATCAAAAAGAGGTAAAAGAATAACTATTTTCCATGCTGGCTCTAAAGATGGTTGGATTCCAAATGGACTTTCTCTATCTACGAAAAATATTAAACATTCTTCTCTGGATTACCAAGAAGACACCACCGCTGATTTATTTGAAAGTTGGTTTAAAAACAAACTGGTTCCAAACATTCCTCGTAATAGCGTAATTCTAATGGACAATGCAAGTTATCACAGTAGACAGTGGACTAAAACCCCTTCCTCATGTGATACAAAAGCAACAATCCAAAACTAAATGTATAATAAGGGCATTTATTTTCACGAAGATTATACCATAAAGCAATTAATTGAGGTTCTACAAAGCTTCAACCTAAAAAAGGAATACGTCTGTGATAATTATTCAAAAAATCTAGGGCATACAGTTTTAAGGCTTCCACCTTACCACTGTATATTTAATCCCATTGAACATGTTTGGCACCAACTGAAATCTGCCATTCGTCGTAACATTGTTTTTCGCCGTGTTAACTCCAATGTCCTCAAACTTATAGAAACCGAAGTTTTTAACATCCCTCCACAAAGTTGGGCAAATTCTGTTAAATATATAGAAAAAGCAGAACAATCGTATATCCATATTGCAAATAATAATTAGCACATGCGATGATAGCGATTGTGATGCTGATATATTATGTGAATAATTTGAAGTAATTTAAGTAGGTAATAAAAATAATTTGTAATTTTATTTTAGATTTAAACATAAATACATATATATATATATATATATATATATATATATATATATATATATATATATATATATATATATATATATTCATCTCCGATACCTCTTTTTTCCATAGATTCATCTACTTCATCCCTCCAAAATCTTCTGGGTCTACCCCTTTTCCTTCTACCTATGGGGCTCCATTTTGTTATCTTGTGTATCCACCTATTTCTGTCCGTTCTTCTTACATGCCCATACCATACCAATCTCTTTTCTTCAATCAATGTTAAGGTATCTTTCTTGACACCCATTCGCTGCCTGATCTCCTCGTTTCTTACTTTGTCTATTCTCGAAATTCTACAACTTCTCCTCCAGTATTCCATTTCAGTGGCCTGTATTTTACTTTTGTATTTTTTGTTGATCACCCAGTTTTCCGCGCCGTATGTCATTACGCTCTGTACTATGGTGTTAAATATATGTGATTTGGTGTGTCGAGTGATGTGTCTATCCCAAAGTATTGGATTTAGTTGTCTGATACAGTTTCGCGTCTGGCCTAGTCTACTGTTCATTTCTTCCTCTGTTGTCCCTTTTTAAGATATTATGAAACCTAAGTATTTGAAATTTTTGGTTCTCTTTATTTGATGATTTTCATCGACTTGTTGGTAGTTTTCTCCATCTTCTGTTGTTGCCAGGTATTCCGTTTTCGAGAAATTTATTTCCATTCCATTTTTTTCATATTCTTTCTTCAGTTTTCGTAACATGTAACTTAGGTCTTCTTCGTCTTGTGCGAGTACAACTTGGTCGTCCGCGAAATTTAACATGTAAAGACAGTCGCCTCTGATTGGAATTCCCATTTGTTCACATTTTTTCTTCCATGGTTTTAAGATCTCCTCTAGAAATATTTTAAACAATGTTGGTGATGTGGAGCATCCTTGTAGCAGCCTTTTTGTTGTTTTAAAGCTTTTTGAGAGTCTATCTTCGATTTTTATAGATATTTGGTTTCCTTAAAACATTTTTTTAACGGTCTCTATTAATTTTTGTGGCAATCCGATGGTCTTCATTGCCTTCCATAGTATCCCCCTGGGTATGGTGTCGTATGCTTTTTTTTAGGTCTATAAAGGCTAAGTGAACCGCTCTATTTTTAGCCATTTTCATCTCTATCACTTGTAATGTATATATGTTGTCCATACAAGATCGACCCTCCGTAAAACTTGTTTGTTCTTCTCCAATTTTGCCTTTTATTTCTATTTCTAGTTTTGCCTTTACGAGTTTTCCATATAGTCTTCCCATAGGTGATATTACGCTAATTCCTCTGTAATTTTCGCAATTTTTACGGTCGCCTTTTTTGAATATCGATGTCATATATGCAGTTGTCCACTCTTTTGGTAGTTGTTCTCCATTTATTGCTCTTAGAAACATTTGGTGTATCATTCGGTATAGTTTTTCTGATCCGTATTTTATTATTTTGTGCCTCCTGGGCCGGCAGCTTTATTATTCTTCATATTTTTAATGGCCATTTTTACTTCTTCTAAGCTAAGATTTATATCCTTCTGTTCGTCTGATGTTGTCTCCGAGTTTTCTCCAATAAAAGTAGGTCTATCCTCTGTTAGCATTTTTTTGTAGTATATTTCCCACATAGTATCTGGTATGTATTCTAGATGTACTTTTCCTTTCCTATTGGTTCTAAGAGATTTAATTAGACGCCAGGATTCTGAATTACGCGTTCCTCCTATATATTGTTCCACATTTTTGCAGACCTCTTCCCATTTGTTGTTCTTTTCTTTCTGTACTATTCTTTTGACTTCTCGATTTTTCTCTCGGTAAATCTCTCTATCTTCATCTGTTTTTGTATTTAACCACTTCATATAAAGTTCCTTCTTTTCATTTATGATTTCCCTTAGGTCTTTATTAATGTCTATTTTATGTTGGTTTTGTGATTCTTCCTTCTCTCCGAGAGCTTCAGTAGCTGCTTCTTTGATGCATGTTTTTATGTGCTCGTATGTTGTCCCTAGGTCGTCGAGGCTGAATTCTTCCAGTTTTTGATCTATTCTTCACTGATATAAGTACCGTATTGACTCATCGTGTAAAAGCTGTATATTGAACTTTTGTTCTTTTTGTTTATGTTCAAATGCTATTTCTTTTTTTGGTTTACGTTTGTTCCATGACCAAGGGAACTCCATTTTCGCGATCAATAACCTGTGGTCTGTGCCGCATTCTGCACCTCGTTTCACTCGGACATCTTTTATTTTAATTGAGGAGTTGTTTTTGACTACAATATAATCTATAATTGATCTGAGATCTCTGGTTTCTTGTACCCAAGTGAATTTATGAATTTCCTTGTGTCGGTAGAAGCCATTTGTAATCTTGAGATTATTAAATTCGCATAGTTCGATTAGAGCCTCTCCGTTGGTATTAACAGTATCTTCTCCGAATCTACCTATTATGGCATCGTTTTCTTTTATTCCTGTTCTTCCATTGAAGTCTCCTGCTATTATGAGTTCTTGATTTTGTTTAATTTTATCAATTTCTTCTTGTATCGTTTGTATGAAGCTTGTCTTTTCGATTAGTGCACTATCTTCCGTTTGTCCATATTCTCCGATTACTATTATGTGTCTTCCAAAAACTACGATATCTATTTTAATAACTCTATCATTTATTGGTTCTAAGCTTTTTATACATTTTATCCATTTCTTTTTTATTAAGATACCGATTCCGGCTTTTGCTCTTTCCTGTTTTTTCACTCCGCTCCAGCAATAAAAGACATCATCTATAATTTCTGTTCCATTTCCTTTTTTCTTGGTTTCGCTCACCACTAGTATGTCCAGTTCCATTCAGCCGCCCATTCTGGGAACCGTCGCTATTTGCAGCCGCCCATTGTGAGTCCGACGCTGCGGTGGTTCTTGTTGGTCCGCGGGAGGTATTTGATTTCCCTCCAACCACCCATATCTGGGAGGCCTTCCCCTATCCGCCACCTGGGGACGCGCTCTCTAGGAGTTGCAAGCTTTCTCGAGAGCTTGCAACTCCGCATACATAAATAAATAAATATTGTTTAGTATATTTCCTAACAAAACCCCAAATAATTAAATTCTAAGCAAAGTACGGACCTGTTCGGCCATATTTCATTCTTACAGCTTAATTCGTATCAGTTAGTCACTTTCTTATATCTATGAACAGACTTTATTTCTACCGAACAAGGGCATTATGCTTACGTCACGATTACCATTTCTTCCAAAGACATTATTAAGTTGTATCCCAATTAGGCTAGCGAAGGCTCCGAAAAAAATGTCTCTGAAAAGTGGCGTCTGAAGGGGTGGGACCATTAATTTTCGTCTGAATACTCTCGAGTTTCGCGTCCGGAGCTGGAAATTTTCACTCCGGGCGTAGGGAAATTGCGAGCGACCGCGCCCACGCCCGACCACGATACAATGAAACACGTAATTACTCCAGAAATAATACAATGGAGGTAACAGCGATTTCAGCTATTTTGGCAAACTTTGCATTACACTTTTGTCGCTTATATCCGCCAGCGTAGTTTAAAAACGGCGTGAAGATGACGTGGACTGTAATGCGGACTCGCATCGCTTTTCATATTCAAAATGGCAAGCGTTGGATTTGGAATCCAACCATCTTTAGAGCCAGCATGCAAATTAGTTATTCTTTTACCTCTTTTTGATGGCGCGTTTGGTTTACACTTATCAGTTGAGTCAACCCAACCCTTTTCCGGGGTATCGTAAGTGTCGAATCAAACTTCATCCAAATAAATAATTGGCCTTTGTTGTTCTCTGTAAATCCTAATTTTTTCTAAATATTCCAGTCGCCATTTCCGAATTCTAAAAGATTTCATTAAAACTTGCCTTTTGTCAACTTTTTAATGTCTAAAACCTATGTGTTGAATACACTTCCATAAGGCAGTTCTGCCACATTTAACACCGGTTTCATCTTTTTCAATCCTCCTAATTAAGATATCTAATGTAGGCACGCTTTGTTCCACGTATAACTGGTAAATTTTACGCCGTATTATATCTTGATCACTTTCATCTACACTCGAGAAGATGTCAGCATCGCTTCTTTTTTTCCTAGCTGAAATGGGATTATTCACAATTTTCCATACCTTGGATAATCCCATTCAAAAGCAATTGGTCACTTTCTTATATCTATGAACAGACCATACACAATCATCACCAGCAGAATTTCACTTAAAATTTGAAATAATGGCTTTATTTGAGTCAATAGTTGCTAGTTTAAATGCAAACGACATATTCGAGTTGAATTTGCAATTTTTATAGAAAGAAGTGGTTTCGTGGCAATTGCTAATATTGCTAAAAGCAGAGGTAAATTCATCCGAGATCACCGCATCAAACCATTTCAGACGTAATTTTTCGAACCGTATCGCGGTATATTAAACATTCTCCCTAAAGAATGGCCTCCCTGATTCGACCACGGTGACGGGCAGACAAAGAAATGACACGTTGGAGCGGGGGGGGGGGGGGGGGGGGGGGGTTGACGGGGACTCCGATCGCGACGACGACTTACGTTCACACTTTATAAGGTTCAATTCGCGATTTCAGTTGGCGAGCGAGAGTCTACTACGGTCGATTTTACGCTGAGCTACATATATAACATCCGCATCGCGCGAAGTTAAACCCGACTCGCTGTTTGTGTATTAGATTATTTAAGAGATCTACGCGATCTTATACGTAACTGATGTTAATTAATAAGCAAATAAAAATCGGCCATTTTAATACGTACGCGAAGAGTGCTTTCAAATTGAAGTTCTTTAGATATTTTAATTAAATTTGGCACACTATGTATCAAGATGCATTATTTAGTTTACCACAATTTTTTTAAAATACCCCAGTGGCGGGCGTACAAATATCACTGGGAACACTCTATAACTTTTAAGCGGCTTGAGATGGCGATTTTAAATTTTGAAGGCTTAATATAGGCTGAATCTTTGGACAACGTAAATACCTACATGTTGTTGCATTTCTGGTTTCGGGAGATCATTCTACGTTTTTCTCATTTTTTTTAAATTTTTTAATTAATTTTTGAAAATTGCGTCTAGGAGGCTGAATAAATACTGTTTACCGGGTCACCTGATCATGGGAAAAATTCTAAATGAAACTTTTCTTTACTTGTATAATGGCAAATAGCATTTTACCCATTTGGTCCCAGTGGTGCGTCAATGCACCACCTATTCTATGACTTGTTTTTGTCACATCCGGGAAATATTTTTGCACATTACGCACACATTATGCTTTATTTTTTGAAAATATTTACTGGTGCGTGAATGCACCACTGGTTTTATCTGTGAAACAAAACATGGTTATAGCAAGTTTAAACAAGTCAGCTCATGTAGGATAAACATCCAACAATTAGCATGTTCTTTAGTATTAGTTTGTGCAATGTGCAGTGAACGTTACAGTTCGTAAAATATGGCATTTCCGAGGTATTTGACTCAAAACGAATTAGAGGCAGCTATGGAGGGGATCGTGATGAATGTGGACAATAACAATGAAAATCGTAAGTATTCCTTCTAATTTATGCTAAAAATAACGTGAAAAAATATTTACAGAACATATTGACGCGGTCTATATTCCACCCGACGTGGATACTTTGACTGACGAAGAAGATATGAACGATAACATAAATCTACAAGAGTTTGGGAAACCAACTTTTATAGCTGGAACTTTCGAGTTACATACACCGATTGATAGAACTGTCCTTCAACAGTCCTGTAATTCATCAACTACTGAACCTGAATGAGACTCATCAGATGATGAAACCCTGGAATCCAAAGGAAGATGTATGCTTCTGCAAACGACAGGCTTACTTCTACTGTCAAATGGAAGAAAGGTCAGGTCACATATTTAGCATTATTAGTCTACTGATGAATAGATTCCAATTGACAAAGCAAAACTTGCACTTATCTGACAATAATCTGTTGGATAAAAATGAAAAATTTTCGGAAGTTAGACTCTTCTTTGATGTAATAAATAAAAAAAATCTTCAGTTTGGCATATTTTCGTTCAACTTATTCATAGATGAACAAATGGTACCTTACTTTCGCCGCCTTTTCCTGCAAAATGTTTATAAGGGGTAAGCCAGTTCGTTTTGGCTTCAAGCTTTGGTGAATTTGTTCATCTGATGGGTACCTATTTTATTCACTTTCATACGGTGATGCTCAAAATAAACCTCATTCTGACCTTGGCCTTGGCGGTGACGTTGTCATAAGTCTACTTTCTATTGTAAATATGGCAGTAAATCACCAATTTTTTTTTGACATTTTTATTTATCATTCAAACTATTTGTACATTTAAAAACTAATGGCTATTTTGCCACAGGTACTATCCGGGAAAATAAAACAAATAAATGTCCAATGGAAAATTATAAATCATTTGGAAAAAAAGACCGCGGATCCTATCTTTCAGCACATAAATCTGAATCAAAAATTTCTATTTTCCGTTGGCACGACAATTCAGTTGTAACTTTGGCAAGGAATGTTGCTAGTGTAGATCCTGTCCAAAATGTAAAACGCTATAATAGAAAAGAACGGAAACATGTAAATATACCCAACCTTATGTAATTGCCCAATACAATAGATATATGGGTGGGGCAGATTTACATGAAAACGGAATTGCTAATTATAGGTACCAGGTATTTGGAAAAAATTAGTGGTGGCATTTATTTTGTGACTCACTGGATAGTTTAGTAGTGAAATTGTATAATATTGTCAACAAACAAAGGATTTCGTAGGTAGATTTTAAATCTTCCATTGCTTTGCGACTTTTAAAAATTGATACCTGCCATAGATGAAGTGCGTTATGATCTTCAAGGTCACCTCATGATTGTTTACGCTAATAAAACCCGAAGGAGATCTAGAATCTGCCACAGCCACACAATTTACGTTTGTAATAAGTGTGCATTTACACACTTCATGCTTTGTAAAATATCACCAAAAATGAAACCGTGTGTTACCAGTGGCGCGCTCACGCACCATAAAATATTATGCGTTCTACTTTTAGTTGTTTTCTGTCGAATTTGAACTTTCTTTTTTATATTTATGTACAGATTATATGTTACATCTTATGTGCCCCAAAACATTATATAAGTTTTTCCCAGTGGTTCGTTTACGCACCAGTATTTTTTGTATGTTTCGAGTTTTTTTTTTTTTGACACATGTAATGTATTCTTAAGTGCAACAAAATAAATAATTTCAAAGCAAAAATGTATTTTTTTAATATTTTTTTATGCTTGGGATAATATGAGTTAAAAACGGAACCCGACGAAAGTCCCCACGTGTGAAACGTGCGAAAGGCTGCGGCACATGTCACGCCTGACACGAGGGTTGGTGCTCGGTCGGGGACGTACGGGGGGAGGGCAATACTTCCTGGCCTTCTATTCAACGACGGCAGCGCACCGTTTAATTTCTTCAGACAACTGAATAGCGAGGCGTTCGAGGAATAACTAACTCCGTATACCTGCTCGGTAAGTGGATTATTATTATTATTTTAAAGGCTGAGTTAGCGGATTTCGAAGCGACCGTGGCGGAGGCGGCGGCTCGGCGAATTGCGAGGCAATTTTTCGTTTTGTTTGGCCTCCGAGATAGCACGATTTACGGTTTGTGTTTTTCGAGTTTTTTTCGGACGCACCTACGCGTCATAAATGTCCACCCTCACTTTTTTCCTTCACATTTTGGGGGAAAAAACGTTTAACACGAAATTTGTGGGGTTCATTTGTACAGGGTCGAAAAAAATAGCAGATAAGAAGACAGGAGTACAGAAAACAATACAAACAACATTTATGTAAAGGTAATAGATTCTGAATTGTC